TGCCCCGCTTCCTTGCTCGCCTGCGCCGCCGTGCACTCCTTGTGTCGAGGGTCGGCAGCGCACTGCCCCTTACTCCTCCTCGTTCCCCCCCACCACGGCTCCCTTCCAGACCCTGGTGGTGAGTTTTCTTCCATTCGCCGAGAGACGTTCCGTCAGAGTCGAGAGATCATCCATTCTTACATGCTACCAGCCTCGCCGCAGCAGAACGGGGTAGCTGAGCGATGCATCGGCCTGGTCATGGAGGTTGCCCGAACCTCCATGTTCCATGCCGGTGCCCACCATTTCTTGTGGCTTCAGGCAGTCCGCTATGCCGGGTACCAGCTGCACCTGTGGCCCAGTGATGCACGGTCACGGGTGACGCCGATCTCCCTTTGGACAGGTTCTCTAGGTGTAGCAGCTGACTTCCGTGTTTGGGGTTCTCTGGCTCACGTTCGTACCCCTGGCGTGAACAAGTTGTCTCCACGCACTCGTGCCTGTGTATTTCTTGGCTTCCCTTTGGACACCGTCGGCTGGGTGTTCTACGACCCACCCACCTACAAGTTCTTAAGTTCCAAGGACGTCACGCTCGACGAATCTGTTTGTTACTACTAGAGTCGCCCCCACCGAGGTACTGAGGTCTTTTCCCCCCCGCTTTTCCTCACCCTTGAGCCCCCCCTTAGTCGCCCCGGTAGCGCCCCCCCCTCCCCCCCCCCCCCCTTTCGCGTCCTGCCCCATCAGGTGTGTCGCACGTCACTCCGCAGTCGTTCCCCCCGTAACGTTCAATCCCTGTCGTGTCTGGGGGTGTGGGAGGTGTAGTTCAAGAGGGTGGGGGTGTAGGGGGTGTGGGCGTGGAGGTCATTCCCGTGGAGGACACGGCGGCCTTGACTCGGCGGCCTCGCCCCGCGTCACCCGCTGGCTTCCCGTCCGTCCCTCAGTTCCCTCCTCGTTCTTCTCTGCGTCCGGTTGCTGCGGAGCCTGGGGGTGTATTTGCGGGAGGTACTGGAGGCCCCGGGGGTGTTGGTGGTGGCGGTGCTAGTTCTGGGGTGCTGGAGCTGGAGGCACTTGCACTGTGGCGCCTACACTGTGCACTATACGTTTCCTGACCCGTGAGCAACGTCTCTTCGAGTTGGAGAGGGAGGAGCATGAGTGGTTTGAGACAGCAGTGCAGCCGTAGCAGCAGCAGAAGGTGAAGCGGCCGCCTTGATCACCACCAGTGTTCAAGGCGCACTATCTGGCGAGAGGCTTTAGTCAGCAAGAGGTGGTAGACTTCTTCCAGACCTTCGCTCCCACCCCGAAGATGAGTACTCTTCGGGTGCTGCTGCATATTGCACCCCAGCGCGACTACGAGCTGCACTCCTTGGAATTTTCGACTGCGTTCCTTCAGGGGAGCCTGCACGAGCAGATCTGGGTGCGTTGCCCGCCTGGCTTCACTGTCTCTTTCCCTCCTGGGACCCAGTAGCAGCTGCGCCGGCTAGTCTACGGCCTGCACCAGTCTCCATGCGAGTGGTACGTCACGCTAGGTACGACTCTTGCAGCGCTTGACTTCTTTCCGTCGTCAGTCGACCCGTTGCTGCTCGTCCACTATGGCTTGACCCCGTTCTTTGTCTTGGTCTACTTTGACGACCTAGTATTCGCCACTCCCGATCGACGCGCACTGGCCTCTGTGAAGGAGGAACTGCAGAGGAGACACAGTTGCACTAACCTTGGTGAGTTGCAGCACTACCTTGGCCTACAGATCACCTGGGACAGGGCAACTCGCACCATTACGCCGACTCAGTCACGTATGGTCGAGCAGACCCTCACGCAGTTTTGCTTTCCGTTCTCTAAGGTACAGCTCACCCCTCTTGCTGTGGATCATGGGCTCATGGCTCCACCTTTGGATGAGGCATTTAAGCCTAGTGGTCCATATCCAGAGCTGGTGGGTTGTCTCATGTACCTGATGACCTGTACTCGCCTAGACCTAGTTTACCCTCTTGGCATCCATTCACGATTTGTTGAGCCTAGGAGACACCGTCCGTCTCACTGGTACGCTGCTAAGAGGGTGGCTAAGTATGTGGCGAGTACATTAGGCATATGACTTGTCCTTGGAGGGAAGCAACCAGTTACAATCACAGGTTACTCGGACTCGTCGTAGGCCGACGACGCGGAGACGCGTCGGTCCACACAAGGGTACTCCTTAAGCCTTAGAACAGGTGATGTTTCGTGGTGGTCGACTCGGGTGTCATCCGTCTTTGGTTCCTGTCGCAGCTGCCAGTGCGCTTTTTTAGGCTTCGTCACCCTGGTTACCTAGTCTACCTGGAAACCCCCCAGGTTGGTGTTGATCCGAGTAATGCGCCGTGATCCGAGAGGCTACGTCAGTGAGTCTTCCCTGCCTGTGCTTCCTCTTTGCTGCCTGTGTGCCTAGGAGGCATAGGAACCGCTGGGTATCCTTAGCCAGTGCCCCGTAGGTCTCCACCGCCAAGCTGAACACCCCTTCAAAGCCGGGGCGCCCCTCGTATAGGCCCCGCTTCACCCTGGCCGCGTCCTTTGCTGCCCACCCTGGTGCTTTGACTGCCCTCTTATCGCGTCATTGCAGGACAGGGTCCATGACCGTAACGTCCGTGACGTAGGTCTCGTTTGACTCCTTGTCACGAATCACCAGGTCCGCTCGCTTTTGGTTAGTGATAGGTGAGAAGGCCGCTGACTCGTGTAGGGTAGTGTAGTCCGCTTCCTGTGCCATACGCAGCGCTGCATACACTAAGGCGTTGTGGGTGTTTGTCCTATCCCCTCCGTCTGCATACCGTAGCAGGTGGTTTGGTAGGCTCCTATCCTTGATATCTGACTGCTTGCCCTTGCAGGGGCACTTCTCCGTGACCGCTACGGGCAATCCCAACCGAAAACCAAGCGCCACTGCGAACTGGCCAGGTGAGAAGGTGAGGTCACCTCTCGTGGGAATGGCGTGCAACCAGTCCCCGGCCCCCACCCCTTGCCGACTGATGAAGCGGATCACGTGTCCGTTGTCTATACCCGGCTTGTCCTTCCTCGTGTCGCCCACCAACTCCGCAGCCCTGTCCTGGTTGATGTGCCTCAATAGGAGTAGCTGCAGGTGCCCTTTCCCGTCCCCCTTTTGGTGGTGTGCCTTCAGGGTCTCTCGGGCCTACTCTGGCAGCCTGTTCCTGAGGTCCTGGAGCATCACCCCTCCTTCCCCCGCCTCGTCTCCCTCCCTCATAGGAGAAAGCAGGTCTGCCACGTGCTGCAGGGGGTTGTCGTGCTCCATCCCTGTTTGCCGGAGCAGTGTGTTTGCCGCATGTAGTGAAGCTAGGTATGCCGCCGGCGCCTCGGAGAGTGGGTCGATCAACCCCAGTCCTCCTAGGCAGACTGGTAGCGTCGCCTGGCGCCATACGAGGCTCTGCTCCATTTCACTAGCAGGTGCGTACATCTGCGCCGCCTTCAGCGACGTCCACAATAGGTTCTCGCTCCAGTCTCTCCATTCCACTAGCGGTAACGTGTCGGCCGGGGTCGTACTAAGCATGTACGGGATGCGCCGCGACACGCATCTTGAGAGTAGTAGGAGCATATGTTGTGGGTGCAGTTTGCTGATGAGGGAGAGCGGTTCAGCCACCTTACGTAGAGCCGATTGTATGAGCCTTCGCCCATGCTCCCTTGTCCCCACCAGACTCCCCAGCACACGAATGCCATCGATGGCCGCCACTAGCCCTTCTGGGAGCCCGTCAGGGCAGCCAGCCGGGCTCCACGCAGATGATTTCTCCAGGTTGCACCGCAGGCCACACTTTCGTAGCTCGTCCGCAATGATGTGAACTCCTCTGATCGCCTGATCCGGGGTGCCAATGATCGTAATGTTGTCGGCGTACGCCATAACCACAGTCGCGGGGCACATGGCTGCTGCTTTCAATAGAGATGGCTGGATTGCCGCCGCAAAGAGCATGGGACCGAGTGGATCTCCCTGCCGCACCCCCCAGGCGCTCTCGATGTAACGCTCGTCGAAGCCTGGATCTAGGAGAAGTCGTGCCGGCGCGCCGTACAAAGTGCGGACCAGCGGCAGTAGTTGCTCTAGCGCCGACCATTTGAGTGACGTGAAGAAGCTCTCCTGCTCCACCGAGTTAAACGCGTTCTCGATATCTAGCTGAATCGCGATTTGCGTTGGGTCCTCTGCCAGCAGAGCTCGCGTGGTGTGGATTACAGTCTCTGCTCCTCCGGCCACGGCCACACCGAGCTGTACTGGGAGGAAGAAGCGACGGATCTCGGGTGAGAGTTTACGAAGCGCCGCTTTTGCTGCTATCCTGATGATCACCTCTCCTATTGCGATCGGCCGAACTCCACCTCCTGGCTTCTCCAAAGCTATCAGCCGTGATGGTAGCAGCAGGTCTCTCATGGGCTCACTTAGGTATGTGCTCAGTAACGAGTTGACCACTTGGTGCAGGAGGATGAAGACTTCCCCGTTCACCAGCGCAGGGTCGTGCAAATGTTCAAAGCAGGTTCCAGATGGCCCAGCCCCAATCCCATTAGGGCACTTAGCTAAGACCTCGCGGAACTCGTCCACAGCGATTGCCAGGGCCGAAGACTCGTATCCAATTACCCAGCCTGGTGTGGGTTGACCTGCCAGCGGGTGTTTAGCGTGAAGTGCCGCGAGCGTCGCAGGCGTCTGTTTGGCGAGGGAGGTTGATTGTAACGCTGAGAGCGCCTTCGCCAAGTTGCTTTCCATACCAGACCCTCCGCCCTGGCACACATCCCCTCGGGGTCTGGTTGGTGTCTGCTTGGTTGAGGGTTAGGGGGGATGATGCAGGCTTCCGAGAAAAGCAGTTCCCATTCCTCCTCCTGGAATTGCTGAAGTTGCTTCTCCATAGCCCCCCAGATGTTTCCAGGAGTTTTCTCGAGTTCGGCTCGGAGGGTCAGCCTCGGCAGGAAGTGGAGGATTCGCCACGCCCCCGCGCAATTCGGAACTTTCGCTAGTCGAAGGAGGGGGATCGTCATGCAGTAGGCGTAGACCCCCAGGATCTTGGGAGGAAGCTTCTGGTGCAGGAATGGCTGTGCGCTGCAGCACAGAGGCCCCAAATCCCAACCTTCCACCTAGCGCCATGCATCCGAGTCAGCTGCGATGTCTGCTGGCGATCTTGCCTGCTGGCTGCCTCGTTGGGAGGTACACGTTGTGACTCCGCCTCGTTGGTGTTGGCCTTGTTTCCCGCTCTCCTAGCTCTTTGATTCACCCCATTACCCGGGATATCACCCTCATCCTCGAGTGACACATCCTCCAAATCACCTTGCTCCTCTTCCATATAATCCTCATCCCCCCCGTCCTGATCATCATTGATTGGCTCTTCTCCTTGTTGTCTCTCAGGTCTCCCGTGCCGTTCCCGCCATGTCCCAGATCTGGCTTTCTCCCTAGCCACAGCCGCCGCTAGGCCCCCTCGCCCCCTTGCTCCTCAGTTGCCACGTCCCCTCGGCGCAGCCGGTTCCCCTCCCCGTGCTCTTGGCGGCGAGTTTCCCGCCGCTGCCTCCTCCGTGCGTTCACGCATCAGCCTCTGCCGTGCCGTCCCTCCTCGGCAGCGATCGAGAGCCGTCACCTGGACCTCCTCCTCCGCCGCCTCTGCCTCGTCCGCCCCTGTCTCTACCCGCTCGGCCGCATCGTCAGGACCGTTCGCATCGTCTCTCCGTGCTTCCGATGACGGGCCGACGCCGGCCGCCTCGGCGCGATGTGATTGTGGCGGCGGGATCTCCTGCTGTGCCCACCCTACCAGCGGCCCAGGGCGGGCAGGTGCCAGCCCTGTTCCGAGCCGTCACGGACTGCCTGACTGCGGGTGTTGGCGCCGCGCCTTCTGCCCTACCGATGGCACCTGCTCGACCAAGGGAGCCCGTGTACCGCTCCCCTCGCGGGCGCACTCATCCGTTTCTCCGTGCGCGCGGCCATTCTTTCCGTCGCCGTCATCCCCCTCGCCCGCCACTGTCCTGCCAGGCTCGTCTTCGACCCCAGCTTCAACCTCCTGCCACATAGTCTCAGCCGTTGCAACTCCCTCTGCCGCAGTCGCCGTCCGCGTCGTCCCAACCGTGTGCGCCAGCTATGCCAGCCCAGTATGCACCGCCCATCCCTCCGCCGCGCCCCCCCCCTCCTGCGCCGGAGCCGGCGCCACCTCCGCGGACGTGTCCTTCTGCCCCCGTCGCTCCGCCACCTCAAGCCGATCCCGCCCCTCCGGTTGGCGTACAGGCGCCTCCCCCGTCGTCGGCACCAGGGCCAGGCCCGGCGCAGCCACCCCCTCGACCGTCTCCTCCGCCTCCTGCGCCGCCCTCGTTGGGGCCCACTCCTGCTGCGCCGTTTGCATATTGGTACCCACCTCGGTTGGATGTGGCGGCGTCTGCTCCTCCTGGCCCTCGCGGGCTCCCTTTCCCTATTCCCGCCCCTCATGGGCCTCAGCGCCAGCACCTCCTTGTGCCGGGGTCTCGCCCCCATGCGGCTTGGTTTGCATTTGTGAGTTCCCCTCATGTCGTCTCCCTCCCGGTCGCCGCATGTTGTTCTCCCCTGCCTATCACTCATCTGCTGTGTCTTGCGCTTTCCCCGTCCCCCGCCATCCTGCGCTCCCTTCGTTCCCGCAGCATCAGCCGGTGCTTGGACTTTCCCGCGGATACTGGAGTGAAGACGAGGTGCCTGGGACCCCTCGTGACCCTGAGGTGGACTGGGATGGTGTCTCGTGGCCGCATGTGCCACGTGAAGGGGATTGGAACTGGAACCCCCCTCCCCCCCCCCCCCCACCCCCGAGCCCTCCTTGGGGTGAGCCGCGGCCTGGAGATGGGGCTTACCAGTCTCGTGGGACGCACCTGGCGGAGGTTGGCCGCTGCGTGACAGAGCTGTCGCTCGTGCTTGACCTCCTGCATGACGCACTTCAGCCGCGGGAGGTGGTGGCCTGAGATCCGCAGATGAATGAGGACCAGCAGGGGTGGGTGCGGCGTGCAGTGTTGGGTGCGCTGTGGAAGGTTCTGCATTTGCCACTTGAGCCCGCGGACCCTTTGCTGGACGATGGACCTGTCGCTGCAGCTTTCCGCATGGTAGCAACGGCTGCTGAGGAGTGCCCGCTTGGGATCGTCCCTGCAATCGCGTGTGTGCTCCGGTGGCTCGGCCGGCGGGTGAAGCGGATGTAGGTGTTGCCTTGGCTGCGGCTTTGGTTGTCGGCTTCTTCTTCCCCATGGCTGGGGACTTACCTTAGCGTAGCTATGCCAGTACTATACTTGCATGCTTGTACTGCACCTTGTGCAACTCCTGCTTTCCTCTCTTGTCCTTGCCACCCCAAACGCGCGGCCGAAGGCCGCGTTGTTGAGCGTCGGCCGCCGAAGGCGGCCGGCGCGAGCCGCTAGGTTGGGAGGATCCACACTCACAAGAGAATAATGAGTGGAATGAACCAAAAGAGGAGGCTATATAGGTGCTCGTACAGCATATAGGCGTCCTGCAGTGGCTACACTAAGGACTCAAGGCAAAGGGAGGCTAAGATATAAGCTAGACTAAGTATATACTAAGCTAGAGAGCTAGGGAGCTGGGAGAGACTAAGGACTGGGCCTAGTGCCTCTCTCTCTCTCTCTCTCTCTCTCTCTCTCTCTCTCTCTCTCTCTCTCTCTCTCTCTCTCTCTCTCTCTCTCTCTAATGGTCCTTGTATTGATTTAGCCGCAAAGTACAAGCATGCAGGTTTATAGAGGCCTAGGAAACAACCAACGCACCGGATCCTACCCACAACCCCCTCTAGAGCTCCAGGAGGGGCTCGACCACCGCAAAACAATCCCCCAGGTTCAGTTCCTTCCCAATTCCGCCTACTGGCGGGTTCTCTGCCGACGCCGCCTCCCCGAGCTTGAGTAAGAGGCCTACAGACTGTGCCCTCTGAAGGGCCACTGACCATCTCTGTCTGAACTGGTGCAGAAACTTCGCGGCATGAAAGGATTTTGAGTCGGCGTTGAAGTGGCGCCGAGCCGCCGTGTCTGCTAAGAGCTTCAGAAAAACAGGTACCTCGGCACAAGGGCAGCTGTAGGTTTCCACAGCCAGCGGGAAGAAGCTAACCGTATCTGGGCGGTTAGCGTAGTGCTGTATCTTTTTGTCGGCTTGCTCCCTTGCCGCCCACCCCCTGCCTTTCTGTGCTTCAGGGTCCCTTATGCTGATAGGGTCCGTGATGGTCACATCACAGACGTAGACTGCCCCGCTGCTACGGTCTGTCATGGTGAAGTCAGCGGTCTGCTCTTCAATGGGACAGTGGGCGGCTGATTCCCTGTGAACGATAAACCCCGCGTCCTGCGCCATGCTGACGCATGCGTCACGCAGTTCGTTGTGGGTATTGATGCGGTGCCTACCCGTGCCGCAGCGAAAGAGGTGATTTGGGAGGCGGGGGTCGGTGATAGGTGTGTGGTCAGAGCAGTCGCATTTCTTTGGCGTTGAGAAAGGGAGCCCGAGCCGAAAGCGAACGGAGTTGGCGAAATGTACCGGGCCTATTCGTCGGTTTGGGGCAATCGGAATCGCGGTTAGCCAGTCGCCGGTGCCGTACCCCGTCAGTGAGAACAAACGCTGCGTATGGCCTGAAAGTGGGTTCGGTTTAATGCGCCTCGTGGCCTGCACCTGCACGGCGTATCTGCTGCCGTGCACCTTCAAGCCGAGTACGTGTTGGAGTCGAGTGTCCGACCGCTTCAGTCGCTCCTGTTCTAAAATTTCACGCGCGTCCTTTGGCAATGCGGCTTCGCATTCGGTAAGCCATGTGTGCAGTGGTGTGGTGACATCAGGAGGGCCGTGGGCCTCTCTCTCTCTCTCTCTCTCTCTCTCTCTCTCTCTCTCTCTCTCTCTCTCTCTCTCTCTGTCTCTCTCTCTCTCTCTCTCTCTCTCTCTAATGGTCCTTGTATTGATATGGCAGCCAGGTACAAGCATGCAAGGTATAGAAGCATATACACAAAGGCAAGTCCTACCCTATACCCCCCCTAAAGATCTAGGAGGGGCTCTATCACTGCAAAACAATCTCCAAGGTGCAACTCCTGCCCAATGCCGCCCACAGGCGGGTTCTCAGCTGCAGCCGCCTCGCCCATCTTCATCAGGAGGCCCACGGATTGTGCCCTTTGAAGGGCCACCGACCATCTCTGTCGAAACTGATGTAGGAACTTTGCGGCATAGTATGATTTTGAGTCGGCGTTGAAGTGCCGCCGAGCCGCCGTGTCTGCCAATAGCTTCAGGAAGGTTGGTACTTCCGCGCATGGGCAGCCATAGGTGTCGACTGCCAGTGGGAAAAAGGCAACCGTCTCCGGCCGGTTGGGGTAATGCTGGATCTTCTTATCAGCTTGTTCCCGTGCCGCCTATCCCCTGCCTTACTGCGCCTCTGGGTCCCTCGTGCTTATGGGATCCGTGATAGTGACATTGCACACATACACCGCCCCATTGCTTCGATCCGTCATGGTAAAGTCGGCAGTTTGCTCCTCGATGGGGCAATGGGCGGCCGACTCGCTATGGACAATGAAACCTGCGTGCTGCGCCATGCTAATGCATGCATCCCGCAGCTCGTTGTGGCTGTTAATGCGGTGTTTGCCCAAGCCGCAGCGCAGGAGATGGTTTGGCAGGCGGGGGTCGGTGATAGCCGTTTTGTCCGCGCAGTCACAATTCTTAGGAGTCGAGAAGGGGAGAGCCAGGCGGAATTTGACGGAGTTGGCGAAGTGTACGGGGCCAATCCGCCTAGTCGCTTCAATGGGTATCGCGGTCAGCCAATCGCCGGTGCCGTATCCCGTCAGCGAAAACATGCGCTGAGTGTGGCCTGAGAGTGGGTTCAGCCGCATGCGCCTGGTTGCCTGGACCTGCACGGCGTATCTGCTGCCGTGCACCTGCAGCCCGAGGACGTGTTGAAGACGTATGTCCGATCGCTCCAACCGCTCCTTTTCCAGTATCTCACGAGCGTCTGTCGGCAGCACCTCCTCACACCCCTTCACCCAAACGTGAAGTGGCGTGCTGGTGTCCCGCGGCAGGAGCATGTGGTCCCGTGCCTGCTTCAGTGCATTCCAGTTGCCCAGCATGAGGTCGTTGAGAAACAGCGCCGCCTGGGTGAAGCTCGCGGCGAAACCGTAGACCCCCTCAATCAAGGGGTTCGTAATGCCTAGCCCCCCTAATGACGGAGGCAGTGACGCCTGCTCCCAAACCCTCGTCTGCTCCGATTGGCAAGTCGGCATGCGGATGTCGCAGGCGGTAAGGAGCGTGGTGAGGAGGTCCATGCCCCACTGGCTCCATTTGTCGCGGGGAAGAAGATTAAGGGGCGTCGTCCGTGTCAGGTACGCAACACGCCTTGATATACATCGCGTGATAAGCAGTGATGCGACCTGGGGATCCGTTCGTTCGATGAGCATCAGTGGCTTCGCCATGTCAGCTAACTGCTCCGTCAGAAAAGAAGCCGCGCCGTCGTCCGGTCCCAGAAAACTGCCCAGTAGCTGGACGCCGTCGTTTGAAAATGGCACTCCTGGGGGTAGGTGCGGTGCTTGTACCGTACTGGAGCTCCACGCAGCACATTTTCGGGGGTTGTGCTCGAGCCCCAGGAGTGACAATTTGTTGGTGAAGTACGAAAATGCTGCTACAGTGTCTCTTTGTTCCCCGATGAACGTCACGTCATCTGCATACGCCAAACAGAGCACCCCGGGGTGTGTGTCTGCCGTATCGCAAAGTGTGGCATGTATTCCTGCTGCGAATAGCAGCGGGCCGAGTGGGTCCCACTGGCGGACACCGCGTTCGCTTTGCAGTGGTTCGGACTCAAAGTTTGCATCTAGGAGCAGCTGCGACGGGTTACCGTATGTGAACTTGACGAGCGGCAGGAGCGGCGAGAGGGCGGGGGTCTGTAACGCGGTGGCGATGGCTTTTCGCGAGATGCTGTTGAATGCGTTCCTGATGTCAGCTTGCAGCACGAGGCTGTCGAGGCGGGCGTCCAAGAAGGCCCTGGCCGCGTGGATCACAGTCTCGGCGCCACCTGGCACTGCCACGCCGTACTGTAGAGGGAGGAAAAAGGTGCGAGCTGCCTCCCCCATTGCTAACAGGGCTGCCTTGGCTGCCAGCCTCGTCAAGCATTCGCCAATCGCGATTGGCCGAGCGCCACCCCCCGGTTTGGCCAAGGCGATGAGGCGCGACGCGGTTAACAAATTCGCCACCGTGTCTGGCAAATTTCCTCCCAAAATTGTATTGACCAGGGCGTGCAGATGGGTGCTGACCAGTGCATTTGTGATCGCCGAGTCGCGCAAATGTCATCCCCGACGGCCCAGCCCCAACTCCATTTTCGCATCAGCCCAACAGCTTTGCGAAATCCGCGTGAGCGATTGAAAGCGTTGAATTCTCCGGTGTCGACCAGATCACCTCCTCGTCAACAGCTGGTGGGTGCTTCTGGCGCAGTTCCTCCAGGACTTCGGGGCTGGGCGTGCAGACAGGCGTTGACTCCAATGCAAGAACGGCTCGTCGTAGGCTGCCACGTTTCGCCAGCCCCTCGGCCCGTTTGATTACTCCTGTCACGTCTGGCCTGTGCCGGGGCGGGGGTGGCGCGTTGACTGCAGCAATCGTGTCCAGGTACAGTTGCTCCCATTCGCCACGTTGGAAGGCTCGCAGCCGGGCCTTGACTTTCGGCCAGTCCGGTCGTTGCGGCGAGGTTTGGCGAAGGGTCAGGCGCGGGAGAAACAGCAGCAGACGCCAACGTGTTTCCGACTCCGGGTTTCGGGAGAGATGCAGTAACGGCGTCAGTAACACTAGCGAGAACAGCTGACACAGATTTGGCGGTAAGCGCCGCGACAGCGAGGGCTGACGACTGTCGCACAAGGCCGCGACATCCCAATCCCCAATCGCAGCGAACAGGTCTGTTCGCTTCGCCAATTCCTCAGACGAAAAATAGCGGGGGGCCGAAGCGGCCGGTCGTGATGCAGCCCCCCTTCTC